AATTCGCTTTTAAAGTTAAAATCGTGTCGGGGGCTACCACATTCCCTTTGACGGTAGCCACTTCCGACGTCCCGTTCACCCACCCGCAATTCGCTTCTATTGGCGACACGAGAAAGAGAGACAGCGATTCGAGATTTACGAAACGTTAAACCGCGTGAGTTCGCAACGGAAGATAAAAGGCGCCCGAAGTCGACTACTTCTCGAAGACGCGCGCGCGCCTCGCAAAAGGTCGTTAATTTCGCCTCTAGGACAAAAAACAAAATTCCGCCACGCAGGAGTTGTGCGCGTTTACAACATCTTTCCGACGACACCAATTTGAAAAGAATCGAACCAAAACTGTAGTAGAAGATAGGAAAAAACTGAAAAACCTTCACGTTAGTATACTACGCTCGAGGATGACGCCCAGATGTCGCCAACCCCACATCATGTAGCCATGTCCCTAAGGTTGACAAATTTCACGGCCCTGTAGATACACGTACACCCGTTGCCTTTCTACAAGAGTTCTTCTACGCGCCCACATTTGCTGACAGCCAGCCAGCCAGCCAGCCAAAGTGAGATTAAAAGCTACTTTTTAGCGCATTTTTGCAAAAAAATTTTTTTGTGTAAAAAGTAGCTTTTAATCTCACTTTGGCTGGCTGGCTGGCTGGCTGGCTGGTCGGCTGGCTGGCAGTAAATGCGCGCCCGTAGAAAAACGCTTGTAAAAAGACAAGGAGTGTACATGTAACTATCGGGGCCGTGTAATTAAGAACGTTAGGGATGGGGCTACAAGATTTGGAGTCGACGACATCTGGACGCCATCCCCGAGCGTATTATACTAACCTGGAGATTTTTCAGTTTTTATCTATCTTCTTCTACAGTTTTTCTCCGATTGTTTTCAAATTGGTGTCGTCGGGAAGATCTTGTCAACGCGCACAACTCCTGCGTGGCGGAATTTTGTTTTTTTTTCCTAGGGGCGAAATAAACCACCTTTTGCGCGGCGCGCTTCGAGGGGTAGTCGACTTTGGGCGCCCAAAAGTTTCTTACAGCGCGAATCGCGGTCTCTCTTTCTCGTGTCACTAATAGAAGGTCGAGCTATGTGAAGTACCCAAAAGTTGAATACGATTTTATGCCGGGATTTTAGCGAAATCTACCAAAATGTGAATTACGAATGAACGGGACGTCGGAACTGTGTATCGACAAAGGGAATGTGGTAACCCCCGACGAGATCTTACTGATGGTGGAGTCAAAACTTCAAACGCGAATTGCGAGTGCACGGTAAGTGAGAAAATGGTACCGACAAAGTGAACGTGGTAGCTTTCGGCAAGATCTTATTGATGGTGGAGTCAATATTGGCTAATAAAACACTGATCTGCCACACAAAAATGCGCTGAAGTCCCTTCGATCTCACACGAGGACTTTGATCATTTTTACAAATAAATTTGCACCGAGATCAGCACATTGTCGCCCACGTTGTTGATAATGGTCGGCTGTCTCGGTCGACACAAAATTATTTCTTATAAAAACAACACTATTCAAAAAGGTCTCTTAGTGACACGTAATCTAAATGACAAGTCTTAAATTTGCCAAATAAGGGATTATCCTAAAAGCCGAAATGAAGCAACGGGCAAGTTGCAAAATCGTAAAGTCTTATTCTAACAAAGTGGTCTTTAAAATAGAACTGCGAAAAGATAATCCTATATGTTCTTAACTTAAAACTTAACGGTGCTACTCTCGATCAAAGATCATTGTAGTATGATGCAATTTTTTACATTGGAGTTAAAAAAATGATCAACGTAATTGTATTAAAAAAATATATGTTTTAGGTTCCTTTATTTCACCTTGCACTAGACAAAGATCGATTTTCGTAAAACATTTTTATTTATTGCATTAAATTGGAATCGAAATGTATTTCAGCGTACTTCTGTGAAATTCGCCGTACTTCAAAGTAATTCATTGTACTTCAGTGGAATTCAACGTACTTCAGCGTACTTCCACGTAATTCATCGTACTTCATTGTACTTCAGCGTACTTCAAATTGCTTGTACACCTACTTCAAGCAGCGGTTTACCCCTCGTAACTAATAGTATGAACCGAGGTATGAACAGATGCAGTATTTTTTTCTCTTCTAAAATAATTTGGGGAGCTAGTAATTGACTATAAAGAAATTACCATTGAAATCCCTATGTTGCGTCGCGCTAGGCACCACCCAGTATATCTTCAAGCTACACCGTCGTGCGATCAGGATCGTCGCCAATGGTAGATATTGGGATGACTGCCGAAATACCTTCAAGACATTAAACATCGCAACATTACCGTGTGTATATTTTAGCAGGCTTATGCCATACCAAGTCGAACGAGCATACCTTTTATAACGCAACATGATGTTCATAGTTATGATATAAGACAGAAATAGTATTTTACATCATTAGCCAGGTAAGTGAGTTTTTACTGGCGATAGGAGAAGTTGACTGGCGAGCCGTTAGGCGATTGGGACGTTTGGAAGAAATATAACCATTCGGCATTTAAATAAAATTTGATACATAGCCACTTGGAATAACACCAAATGTAGCGCCATTTTCCAAATTTGGTTTTGCGCATGCGCAGTGCCAACTTTCTTATTTATGGAGGGATTTAAATGAAATTTAATATTAGCCACGTGGAATAAAAGAAAATTTAACACCAGTTTCAAAATCTGGTTTTCTTTTTTATTTTTAGAGGGATTTAAATGAAATTTCATACATAGCAACTTGGAATAAAAGCAAATGTAGCACCATTTTCCAAATTTGGTTTTGAGCATGCGCAGTGCCAACTTTCTTATTTATGGAAGCATTCAAATGAAATTTGATAAATAGCCACTTGGAATAAAAGCAAATGTAGCGCCATTTTCCAAATTTGGTTTTGTGTAGCATGTGCAGTGCCAACTTTCTTATTTATGGAAGCAATTTCGTAGGGGTGTTTAAAAAAATGCGCTTCACTTGCACAAGGGTTGTGCACAATTTGTACTTGTTTAATTAACCTAAGTACTCTATCTAAAGAATTTGTTTCAACAAATACCTACTCGGCACAAAATAAGTAAGTACCTACTTGCTGGATAATTAAAACCGAGACTAAAACCAAATAACCACGTAAGTAAGGGAGACAGTTATCGTAATGTATACGATCATAACAATTCTACAAAAATTGGGCGTTATTTAAGTATGATTGAGTACCAATGTGGTATAAATAAATTGCTTATTTCCTTGATCTAGATGTGTATTGATTTATTAGCTGTACTAAATGACACCTGCCATTGTTATGCTAAAAGAATTATAGGACTGTCTCCAACCCTGGTCTTTTCTGAGACAGCATATGTATTTGGCAACGCTACCTTCCATAACACCAATACTGAACTCCCAGTGTGAATCGGACTATAAGTACCTACAGTTTTAACGTTTTCTGGATTCATTCACTGAGAGCGAGTAGCACCATGTGCTTTCTTTTTATGTAATAGACTATAGTACATGGAGATCTAAAGACAAAAGCATATACATTTGCGCCGAAGTTTGCACTGCATTCTTCTGAGTAGAGATGTTTAGGAGAAATTCGAGGAGAAATTTTAGTTGGAGATACTACTAACGACATTAAATTAAAAGCGCAATTAAACATTTCGTTTCCAAGTGCGCTTAGACAGTTATGGTATAAGTAGGTAATATTCCACCATCGACCTCACGGTAAAATTTGTTTTAACGTGCTGAAGGTAGCGCGTAAGAAATACGCTTTAGTCATTCGCACGAGTGCGACGCCCTTACCACGTGTTTTACGCCCCTGATTCGGCTTGAGTAAAGATGTTCTTCCCCTTCAAAATAAGCGTTCGTCTTTATCTGATGCTTCACAGATCACAGACGTATTTTACTTTCACTTTGAAGAATGTGACATATAACACCGTCGGATAAAGATATTCTCTTTTTGCGTTCGGTAGCTTGCTCTGAGACCCGGGTCAAAAAAATCTTTGAAATTGCTCGATTCTAATCGTTTAAATTTTAATCAATAAATGACAATCGTTATTTATGGATCAGTTTCGATGGAAAAAAAGTATGTACAAACTCATTGCCTCCAAGTAAATTGTATGCATTTTTCATAACAAATCATTACTTATTTATGCGAGAATTTCTGAGAATGTTTCCCTGATTAAATTGAGACCTAATTGTTTTATGTTAGAACATCGCCGAAAAGTACCAGAAAGTTGCCAGAAAGGCAAACATCGGAATTTTAATGTTTCCGTGGCGTGATGTATTAAAACTATTTACGGGGGTCTGTGTTTGTTTCTGAAAGAGGGAATAAGTGGTCATGAACAATTTCAACGTAGGTAGGTATAATTTTCGATTGTAAAACAGCTTCTTGGTCAATATCTCGTGAGACATACAGTGTAAATTAGTGCCGCGCTTCGTGTCCACCCTGTAGATTATGTGAACATGACCGTCGTGATACGAATTTATGAAATTACTTTTTGCATATAAAAATAAGTGCAAGGTATAAAATTTGTGTAGATAAATAAACATAGACTCTTACATAATTTAAAATTATATATCAGAATGATATAATCTTGAATACATTTACCAAATGATGGGAAATTTTAATACACAAATTGGTTATCCTATCGATAACGATAATTAAAATCTTCTCGAGGTACGAAATAGCCTGCGCTCGATTGATATGTTTCAAATTTGATTAACAAAATTATGGAGTGTAAACGGAAATTTCCCATTTTCGAGAGGAAAGTGGACGTAGACATCCTGTTTGCGTTTAAATACTGCCCTAAATATAGTCAGATTTCTCTTCAAGGCCGTACACACATGATAGACAAGGATATACTTAACAAATGAGCTCCCCCATCACATGGGGTGAAATATAAATAATAAAACATCGCCGATGGATGGTGTGTTTGTATAATAAACGCATTAAGGGGTGTCGATACTTACCCAGCAACAACAATTTGAGTTCTCGACGTGCATCTCTTTTATCACGCCGTAATTGCTTCTCTATTTCTTGGTTAATACGCTTTTGCTCCCTAACCTCGTCCGACTGACAGCACGCCATGGTCATGCTCGGCACAAAAATCGAGGCTCGACCTCGTTACCATCCACAATTAATTAACACTGAATGCACTTATAGATAATTTATAGTTCTTTGAAGAACGTCCATCGCGGTTTGCTGGGTGTGGTACTCAATTTCAAACCACTAATTTGTTCTTATATTCCCTATGTATTAAGTTTAATCTAATTACTATAACAAGGTTATCGAAGCCATATTACTTAATTAAAGGAATAACAAGATTTAAGTTAGAAAAATAAATACACTGTATATGGTCACACGGCCGTTGTAGGTATAATATAGGTTAACAAGGCGCCGATTTATTCGTCGAGCGCCGCGGAGCAACCGTACCCAAACCAGCAAGTAATTTATTTCGTTTCTAATCTACAACACAACGTCACAATCCTGCAACACCTTCCGAAACAAAAACTAACTTTTTATTGCACGGCAACCGCCTACCACTAATATGGAGTCGCCTTTGTGCTTCCACACTGCGCATAACAGGAAACGCACATCCAAACACCGATTTAAGTTTGCCATTTAAAAATACCTACGTGGAGGGGAAAGTTTATAAATAATTTTTACATTTTCCATTAAAGATTGCATACTTTTTCTCCGTGCGATTATAAATTTAAATTTTTCCATTGGATCGTTTGATGGGGAATGCTTCCACAGTCAGATCTGCAAAAATTTCATAACAATAACCTATGCGAAGCTGTCGATAGCGCGACTCGACAGTATAATTCTAAACAAAATAATGGACAGAGGAAGTAGAACAAATTTTTCTTTTAGTTATTCACAAACCCGCTGTGACTACCAACATGGAGAGGGCGCAACAAGATTATGAAATAGAATCAATCTTGGGGACTAAAAAACAATTTCATACTATCAATTGATGTTTTGGTTATATTATCATATTCGTCCAAAACCTGCTTCATAGGGTACCTAGTTATAGGCAACACATATTACATTTATGGCGCGTGTGTCGAAAAAAACAGTTTTTTTAGTGATTAAGTTACCGGACTTTTTTTGTGAAAAAGTCGATTGGAAAATGTTACCTTTTTTCACGATTTCTTACGAAATAAAAAAAATTGTTTATTTATTGTTTATTTATTGTTTGCGTTTTGTCCGCCCGCCCGTCTGTCGATCCGCCCCGCCCCGGACCCACTTCTGCGGTTTTCAACTACTTTTAGGGGAATGGTCTTATGAGTCCTGGAATTTTTCGCAATACGTAGCCTATATCTTGAAGGTGTGCCAGACCGTCAACAAATTTTGTCGTCTCAAAAGGAACGACTGTTTTTATCAACTACCACCCTTCTCTCTGCCTCCTTATCAAAAGAGGAGGGGAGGGGGGCTAGTTTTATCTTTCATATGGTACTCTAATGAAAGGTCTCAACGAGAGGAATTAATTTCTACCAACCATAGTCCTCCTCCTCGGCCCCTTATCGTGATCGGATTTTCGCCCTGCAAAGAGAATCCCAGAGATGGGAATACTGTAACCAAAATATTTAATACTATTACAACATCTAAAACTGTGGTTGATCTCGAATCTCAGGCTTGCATTTCCCCCACGAGTTCCAGGGGTGGGACTCTGTTAACAAAAACTCTTGGGTTTAGCACTGCTGTGCGCGATATGAGTATCAGTTCAATAGTATCTACATATTTTGTTGTTAAAGTTAAATTTTGCTTTGCAAGACCATGCAAATTTTCCAATAGGGTTTTGTTGCACGTTGATGGTTGTACCTACTCCAATCAATTATTTGTTTTGCAATTTGTTTTTAACCTGTTTTTACAATCATATGTTTTGTGTTGAGCTGTTGATAACATTTTCATTATTGCTCATTCGAGATTATTGACTGTTAAAATAACTGATCAAAATGAAAACCTTATATAAAATCATTGACTAATTGGGGGGGTATTAGTCAATGATAAAATATAAAGTAAGAATTATACTATTACGCCATTATAGCGTTTCATTTTGCGTTCCTTCCCTACTACGCTTTAGGTCATACGCGTTGTTTGCAACTAACGTAAGGCCATAGATGTTCGCGATCACGTGCCACTTTTCGATTTCAAATTTAAGCGGGAACCAGTTACCTTTAGGAGGGAGTAAGCATTCCTGTGGCCATTTACAAACGTTGCCAGGTTGATTTTATGTCCATGTTACTGTAATGTAAGCGTAGAACCTGGGGGTTAAATACACACTACTTATACACATTTAAAATTGATTTATTTTGTACTTTTCAAAACAGCTCCTCAGGGAATAAGTTATGGTGGAGTGGAGGATCTTAAAACACAAAAACTTGAAGACCGTCTGGTACATCTTCGGATAAAAAGCAAACCATACAGGCTGTTTCACGCAAAATGTTACCTAACAGTTTTCAGATTTTGAAAATTTGCATACGGACACAGTTTTTAATGATCTATCAAAAGAAAACATGATCATGATCGTTTCACTTCCGGTTTTACCGGATGTGAATAGCCACTTTCTTATTTTAAATAAGCCACACTGTATTTTTTTCCATTTTCGAAAACTACGTCGTTTGATAACACATTTCATAATCTTTCATAATCAACAATACTGACTTGATGCTACACACGACTAATTTAAATTTTGATCGCCTTTTTCAGGGTGTTTTAATACTAATAGTCGATTTTAATAACTTCCAACTAGTTTTTTTCGGTTTTAACGGGTTGCAATATAAATAAATAAATTACTATAAAATATAAATTACCTACTATTAATTATAGGAAAAAAATATTTAATACACCAAAATAAAGTACATTCTTGTTTTGCGCAAATATATATGTTTTGGGTTTAGATAGTTAAAACTTCTTTTTAACTTGCGCGTTCGTTTCACAACTGTCCACTGTCAATAATCGTTTGTATTGCTTTTTTCACACTCTCTCTAACCTCTATCCCTCTTACTGGTTTTGGTTCATTTTCGGTAAATATATTTTATATGTTTGTTTATTATTATCAAGGTTAACTTTGTAGAAATTAGTGTGGTAACTCCTATTTTTGGCCTAAGAAATTTAGTGCAAACTCTGAACGGAAGTCACAATGCTTTATTTTTGGTTAATAACATTAACTACATTTTTTTTTTCTTTTAATTGTCGAGAATTTTCTAGAGCGATATCGAGGCATCAACTCGATAAACGAGTAGTCACTGACGATAACGAATGAAGTCGAATGTGGACGTATGATACGTTCTTAGAATTAATTGACTAAGAAGCTTTTCGTTTGCATACAGGCCACAGGGTCATTTTTGACAAGCGCCAGTTAGAAAGATATGGAGAACCCTTGAAAATGAAACTAAACTGATAAGTCTCTTAAGGGTTTTCGCACATGATGAATTGAACTAAAATATTTTCAAGATGGCGCCACTTCCGCAAATACCGGAAGTAGCCATCAACTCTGTTATTTTTTATAGGGACCCCCTATTTTCTCTACATTTTCGGTTTCTATGCCGAATTTGGAGTACAACGATCAGTGCCGGATTTAGGGTTTCTGTGGGCAAACATTTTTTGCCTCCCTTGACATATCACTATATGTATCACCATTATTACAGCGCAAACGCTCCCTTTGACTAAAAAAAAGTAAGGCATTCATTGGCTATATTTGCAATGCAATGAATGTACTAACAGATTTTATTTTTGCTTCATTTCATTTACCGATTCACCGTTTACCTAAAAAATTTGAACGCATTTTAATTTTTCTGTTTTCCTCCAAATATGCCGCCCTTACAATTTTTGCCCCTTATATAAATACGGCACTGACAACGATACCCCATATAGTTGACCTTTTTCTCCAAGGGCTTCGTCGATATTAAAGTTTTTATGCCAAAAATGGAATTTGCAAGAGTAATTTTAAAAATTTATTATTCGAAAACGGTGAGAGATATTGCAAAACAGTTTTCACTGCTTTATTAAGGACAGGTCGCATTTTCTTATGGTATGCGCAACCGTCTAAAAACACTTTTTCAAAGCTCTGAACTTTTAAATTTTTAAATATCCGTAACACTATTTTTTCAAAGGCACTCCCCATTTTTTCTTCACTGTTGGTTTCCTTTTTCCGATACCTTTAATTTGATACAAAATGTCAAAGGCTGCTTCAAACGGTTTCCCAGATATTCCATGTTTTTGTAACGATCATTTATTTAGTCAATTTTTAAGTAATTTTTTTAGGGACAAAAAAATTGAACATTTCAACTTTGATCAATTTTTTGATAGTTATTTTAGGAACTGAAAGTTGTCCTATTTTTGTCCAGGTTATTTTGTATTTTTGTAATGTTTAGAACCTGTCCTATTTTTCCCTCAATTTTTTAGTAACTTTTGACAGATTATAGGGAATTTGTAAAATTAAAATTAAATTTATATTAGTTTTTAAAGCTCACTACAATACGTTGACAATAGATAGAGACCTTAGTTTACAGAAGATAAATATTTAGTCTCCAGATTTAATATAACATAGGTTATGTACAAATGTTTACATTTTACTGGTACTAAAAAATGGACAATATTATGGAATGTTACATACAGTTTCATCATTTATGACATTTTTAGGATAGCATTACCTTTATTGAAGTAAAAAAGGACCAAAAATTTGACTAAATAAGTGATCGTTACAACGGGCTTTAGTCACTTCTTGTAGCAAATTGATTAAAAAAAATTAAGTCGCTTGATGTTATTCTTTTGTTTTTATTCTGATAAATCTAAACGTAAAATTTTCGCTTCTTGAACAGTTTTGAACTTTTATTTCTCCTCAATAATGGCTCATCTTGGGTTACACTAATGAAGATTTTTTGAATTTAATATTAATACACGGTGAATTTAATCGAATAGCGGCCAGCACTTGCCGTCTTTTTTCCGAAAGATACCCTGACAAGGCGCGATCTAGGGAGGCTACAATTCGCAAATTATTTCCAAAATTGCAGGAATATATTTCAAACAAAAATACAAAAAAAGAAAGTCTGTGGTGGACTCTAAAGAACAAGAAATAACTGACTTATTTTGTTGCAAATCCAACTGCATCGCTTAATGATATTCAAAGAGACTTAATTTTTTATCAATGTGTTACAAGAAGTAATATTAAAACATGGAATATCTCGCGGAAACCGTTTGAAGCAACCTTTGATATTTGTGTATCAAATTAAAGGTCTCGGAAAGAGGAAAACAACAGTGAAGAAAAAAATGGGGGGTACCATTTGAAAAAATGGTGTTATAGATATTTAAAAATTTTAAAGTTGAGAGCTTTGAAAAAGTAACGTAGTCTCACTTTTTTAGACGGTTGCGCATACCATAAGAAAATGCAGATTCCATTTTTGACATAAAAATTTGAATATCGACGAAGCCCTTGGAGAAAAGGGTATCGTTGTACTCCAAATTCAACGTAAAATCCGAAAATGTAGAAAAAATAGGGGTCCCTATTTAAAATAACAAAAGTTGAAGGCTACTTCCGGTATTTGTAGAAGTGGCGCCATCTAGAAAATATTTTAGTTCAATTGATCATGTGCCAAAACCCTTAAAGGACTACTTATCAGTTTAGTATCATTTTCAAAGGTTCTCCATATCTTTCTAACTGACACTCGTCAAGAATGATCCTGTATAAGCAAATTGTGTTTAATTAGTGATTCAATGGTTTAGTATAGTCCCCTATATCGACGCCGAAGTGATAAATAGTGAAATATGCGCAAGTGAAAGGGAAGATCTTGTAAATGCCATCGGTTCTGGTTCTTTTCGATTCCGATTTCAACCTCTGCTGCGCTTGTAGTCAATGTACCTACTTACTGCATAGGGCTGATTGATTCAAATAGGAATAAAAACGGAGTAGGTATCCAAAGGAAGTATTCACAAAAATGAAAATCAGCAGTAGGTACTATTTATGCACACAACAGATAGTTTATGGATTTAGAAACTTACTTGCAGTCACATTATTTATAACACGAGTGGGATTTTCGTTATTTATCAACATCGATGATAAACTGAGGTTCTTTTTGGATTAGATTGTTATCAAAGTTTGGGGCGGAGGATTGTAGTCTACTAGGAGTCGTGAAATAAAAAAGGCGAATCCGCTATCGTCTTTCGCATGAATGTGTAAACTGGAATGCTTGTTTTTGTTTATTATTTATCTTTATATTTTATTGTTACTACCTATTCGTTTTGTTCTGTTCTGGAGCAGCTAAATAAATGTATACTTTTTGTTAATTTGTTTTACATCTATCAATGAAATTACCAGCGGTTTAAAGGCTTCATTTTAATGTGCACATGGCTGGCTTTAACGAAAATTGTTCATAAAGTTCTAACCTCCATAGATCGGTTCTCACCAGTCACGCTTTTCAAACGAAATTGCGGGAAAATTCTTAGACTTCAATTAAAGTGGCAACACTGATTCTCATATTTACCTAATCTTGTGTGCTGGAATTGGAATGAAGATGAAAAAGTACATTTAAATTTTAGTGAAAATATACATCAAAACGTGTGTAATTTAATAATCAACACCGTTTTCCAAATTTGTTGAATGTTACGCCCATCATAACAGCTAGAACACCTTAATCGAAAATAATACAAAGGTATTTGTCAACCATTTTTTTAATTTGGATAACGAATATTAATGCTAACAGTTTTGCTCATACTAACGGCTATTTTTGTTGTTGTTTTACCTAACAGTTTTACTGTACGTAAATGTATCTTATTTTCTGAAAAATTAACAACATAAATAGGGATTGGGAAGAGAGTTTAAATGTAATATTTACTCACTTGTAGATTCCTTTGACTAATTTAACTTAGAATTTTTTAAAATGGTATCTACTCGCCTTATGTCTACTGCAAATAATGGTAATGGAACGGACAGTGTAGCAAGTTCGTCAGCCTCAGCTTTAGCAGGATATTCGAAACATATACGTACTAATAATTCTACGAACATTTGTGCAAGTGAGATTACTCCTACCTCATCAGTTTCTTTACTGGATTTACCGCAAGAAGTTATTGAGAAAATTCTCAGTTATTTAAACTTTAAAAATATTTGCTCCTTACGTTTGGTAAGTAAAAGTCTACTGGTTCAGATTTCAAAATTTAATTGAAGGTATGCCGCACTATTGATCAAATTGGTGGGCAAATTCTCAACATCACATTTCTTCGCTTACAATCTCAAATGTTGCAACGTTTCCAATATATCAAAAGCAAAATGCCCAGAAGGGAATCAGCACGTAGAAATCATCATTTGGCCTGTGAATGCGACATCGTTGAAACGTTACATATGAGATTGACACTCTTGCAAATGGCTTTCGGGAAACATATTGAGCGAAAGCACTGTTGCTTTTTCCCAGGAGAGATACTTGATGAAGTGTATAATATTTTGCATTATATTAAAATTACACCAAAGCTGGCTCGTCCTTATAAAGTTACCGATGAACTTTTCGACTTATCTACAATGGCAATGGAGTATTTTAAGGAAAAGATTGAACCTGATTTACCTGAAATAACTTGTTTTGGAGCAGATTTTTTGGATTTTACAAGATCTTTTCCATGTAAGTATGCTAAGTATTCTGTTTTTTAAAATTATCACAATGTATAGAGTGAGTAGGTAACTTAATGCCTTGAAGATAAGATTTTTCAATAGGGAGTTGTTGTATTATGATATGGTTGAATTTCTCCAAATTTTAAAAATATTTGGAATTATACAGGGTGCGCTCACAAAGTAGGGTGTCAAAATGGTGCATTTGCAAGCGTCAGTATATTGTCAAAATTATTACTTATTATTACAATTAAGTATTATAAAAATAGCTTACAGTGTGTTTTTTTGTGGGTTCAAAGTTGCAAAACTTCATATTAAAAAATGTCACTTTTTTAAATGGAACACCCTGTATATTTTTCTGTCATCTTTTAGCTCCTCCAAAAACGTTTAACTTTTGATAATATTGTCCTATACCTATCTCGAATAGGTTTCGAAATATCTTGGTTTTCTTATTTTTATATTCTAATCTTAACCATAGTAAGTAATTTACATAACGAGGTGGCCATGCAAAAAAAGGCAATTTTTATCTAAGTATCTCGTCCAAAACGAAAATCATATCGATTAATTCATTTTTTGAATAATTCATTTTTCGAATAATTCATTGAAGTCTAAAATCGAGTCTAAAAACTGGAGAATAAGTAAAAACGACAAAAAACATCCTGTAAGATATTTTTTTAATGTTTCATAGTAGATGTATTTATTTGGCTTTTACTTGACCCACAATAAAAGATATAAAACCTGGAATCAAAATTTAAGTAATAATTTTGACAATAAACTGACGCTTGCAAAAGCCAAATTTTTCTTACAAATCAGGAGATTGTTGCTGTTTGTCAAAAAAATGCCCGTTACAATTTTTTTTGGGCATACTTATCTGTTGCACCCAGCCTAATACAGGATGTTTTGTTGCAAATTTATGTGATACGGAAGTTTTATAGGTAAGCTTTTGAAAGTTTGTACTTAGGAGATACTCTGGAAATTAAAATCTTCTCAAAATGCAGGAAAATTCTAGCAACTTGGTTGTTTTTAATGGCAACCTTTATGTTTGTATAGCTTTTCTCTGTGAAATTTTGACATGTCAATATCTAAGTGGTGTAAGTATGTAGGGATACTTTGAAAATTCATTATTGTAGTTGTGGTAATGGAGTTTTCACCAGCATAATAGCAAGAATAGGACTTGTTTTTGGTACTTCTGCACAAAAATCAAATTTAGTAAAATTTAAAACTTTTTTAGCTTCCTAACTCGAGCTACGTTGCTATTGCAATCACGGTTTTTTGAACATGTTAAAATGTCATTAAATGTCAACGTTTTAGATCATTTTTAAGCAACTTTTAAAGAATAATAAGAATAAGAACAAAGAATATTTTTTCAGTCTGTATGTATGTACATTGACAATTTTCCAAGATAAAGGCTAGTGGGATTCTGTTCAAATTTTTGATATGTATAATGTATATTAGGCATACGGAAACGAAAGATAACGGGTCAGATTTTTGAAAAAAAATTTTGGAGCGTCGCAATATTAATTAAGCTAGGTTTTATTATAAGTTAATCAAAGTTAAAAAACTAAAATATTTTTTCGACAAAACGGTTAGCTATTTTGTCATTGTTAAAGACTATTTTTAAATTATGAGTTTTTAGCGTCGTGACGTTATACAACTGTGTTTTCAAATAGTAACCCACATTTACAAGCGAAGTTTTCAAGTGCTCACTCATTGAAATACAAGTATTAACCAGGAGCAACGTTGCTGGACTGTAATGATTATTATATAAATATTATACATTAATATTAATAATAAAAAAATGGAATATATACCTATATTGGTATACTAATTTTAATTTTTTTTAGCTCCAAGCAATGGAAAGTATTTGGGCTTAGATTCTTCGCCATTAAGCTCAGAAGAAGTGAAGGAAACAGATTTGGCGACATGTAGCACCAATTTAGAAAAATCAAATTTAGTCGAACCATTGCCTCAATCAAACATGGTTCTGCGAAAACGTATTCGTAAAATTAAACAAGGTATGAAACGCTACAACAGCCAGCTTTCTATACTTCGTCAAGATTTGAGATCATGCAAACGCAAAACGGCAGATCAACAAAAGCAAATTTGTGAACAACAAAAGCAGTTGGCAGAACAGCAAAAACAAACTCTGGAGTATGTCACTCGTTTAGACGAGTACGACAAAAAAAATGAAGAAATGTCTCGCAAATTTAGTACATTACTTCAAGAATTGAATAAGTGCAAAACTGAATTGCAATATTGGCGTTCTAAATCGCCAGCCACGCCACCTTTCTGTTCAGGTTGTGGTAATGTTGTGGTGCCACCTTCGGAAGAAATACAGGCCCTTGTAAACCAGGGATTGATTCCCGAAAATCTGGGTTTAAATCCTACCCCAGAATGCGATTTTATTCCCATCGCTGGGAGCAGTACAGCTGATCACCTTGTAAACGACAATGATGTATCGAGCAAAAATGATAATGCGAACGGCGATGGTGAATTGAGTGTAAGAAGTGTAAAACGCAAAGCGTCAGAAATAAAGGAAACTCCAATAATCGCTACCGGTGCAAAGAAAACACGTAAACTTTTGAAGGCTCGATCCAAGCGACTCAAAATGTAGACAGATGTGCATTAGTTTGAAATTCATACATATTTTTCAACTTCCATTTAATTAAATTAATGACTTTAAGATTGGTTTGATGTGTGATCGGTGGCATTGAAATATGTTAATTGTGTCATTTTTCAACAACGTTAGTTCAACTGCTGTAGTCTAGATAAGTAAAGTGTGAAACCTTGGGTTGTTTTAATTTACCACGAGATGATTACTGTAATTTAATTTATGATAATATTGATAATGATATTGATAAACTAGTCCATTTTCCAATAGTGAAATAGCAATTATTTTATTACAATTAAAATGTCACTGATTTAAACTAAATAAACACTATTTCGTACCTAATTTTGCATTGATATAAGCAACTGCCATGTGTATTAGCTTTACCATTTCTACTTTATAATTGAAACGCAATAGAGAATGGCATGCTGAAACAAATTTAGTTTTTTAAGCTTTAATGTATGTTATATGTTTGTATATTTTAATATAATTGAATTGTGTAAAAACACATTGGGTAATATTCAAATAAGGTTGTTTTCTAGATTTGATAATTCACCTATAATCCACTTTAATTTTCAAAATTAAATTACTCGTTTGTACAATAAAATACCAAATACATATGTACTATTTCTTGCCTTAAGTTTTATTAACATTCTCTTAAGCAAAAATACGTTCCTTTTGAATTGATACATTATGGATGTGAATTTGCACACTTGAGGCCAATATAAATAAGTTATCAAAATATAGTGGAAATCTCTAATTATATCGTAACCATCACGTGATTGTGTTTAATGAGCATTTATAATTTTGTGATACAAATACAACTAAAAGTTAAATGTTTGAAGTGCTCGTAAATAGAATTAGGACACTTGTTTAGGTTTAAAAAGTTGCTTCTTCTCTCATAAATATAAGTGTAGTGCCCCCTATTCTACACCTCTAAACCACAATGTTTTAAAGACAAAAAAACATGTACGCCACCAACCAGGGGCGAACCCGTAAATCGTCATTCTTCTTTTTTGTTCGGTTTAAACCACACGTGTTTTGTTGTATTTCGGAGTTTAATGTTTCTGTTTTGTGTTTCTTAGAGGCCGACGAGATGACAATTTCCGATAGCCTCAGTGATATGGCTGATACCACTTCTGACCGTGGGAATACTCCCAAAATGGACACGGTCAATTACAATATATCTCCACGGAAATATACATTTTCATGCGCACGGACGACTTATGCGGGATTATTAGGAGCCGTCCGAGTATCCGATGTATTTAATTCAGTCTCGACCAATTGAAAACCAGAAGGCAATTCTCTTAGCCTCAGCTAGGCATGGGAATTTTTTTCGATATATCGATAGTTATCGATATATCGAATAACAATAGGTAGAGCTAAAAAAATCGATATATCAATAACTTATCGATAAGTATCGATATATCGATACCTATCGATATGTCGATAACTATCGATATGTCGATAACTATCGATATATCGATATGTCGATAACTATCGATATATCGATATGTCGATAACTATTGATATATCGATATGTCGATATCTATCGATATATCGATATGTCGATATATCGATATGTCATAACTATTGATATATCGATATGTCGATAACTATCGATATATCGATATGTCGATAACTATCGATAGATCGATATGTCGATAACTATTGATATATCGATAACTATTGGTACGATAAAATTATGTTATTGTTGAGATTTCAACGAGCGCTACTATTTTTATTAATAAAATCCATTTTCGGGTTTACTCTCGTGTAAATTTACTATTTTTAGTTGCTCGACGTTTCGGAAACTTAACTTTGCTCCTTTTCTCAAGAGAAGCGCTACGTCACATCATCATCCATGCCAAATAAACGCAGTAATAAAATCTTTAGAAAATAGATCTTTTCGTCTTACTGACGATTGCTCAAAAAAAGAAGCACTTCAAAAACTTGAACAAAATGTTGCATCAAAATGGCTACTCTTTAGATAAAATAAAGAAGACAATCAAAGGGTGTAATCATGGCCTATGTATCGGTATCTGATTTATGGTTACAGAGGACCAGTCACAAAAAAAAACAGAAAAAGCTAAGAACACTTCAAATTTAGATATACAGTTTCAATTGATTGACATTTACGAAATCTAACAAAAAACTCTTGATAAAGATAGCAAAGAAACGTCGAGTAACTATTAATAGTCACTTTACAGGAGAATAAACCGGGAAATGGATTTTATTAATAAAACTCGATAAGATAACTATCCCTGTCGATAACTATCGATACGTCGAATATTTCTCTCAAATGAGGCGTGCAATTACCGCTTAATTACAGCGGTAATTGCATTGTAGAAATCTAAAGAGCCCTGCGATAATTGCACATTTAATATGGTAACTCCATTAAAGTTGCAAGAACTGCATTGGGTTATTTTCATATTTTGTTAAAAGCGCCCTCTTGTCTTGTCGGGCTCTTTCGCCAAAATATAAAAGTAAACTCATGCAGTTTTTAGACACGCTTTCAAAAAAATTACCGGTAATATTATATCGATACCTATATATTAAAAACTATCGCCATAACGAGAACTATCGATATACCGATACTTATCGATATAGCGGTAGTTATCGATCTTTCGATAGTTATCGGTGTATCTATAACCATCGATATTTCGATAATTATCGGCATATTGATAAGTAAAATATATCGATACTTATATCGATAGGTGAAAACAGTTATCGCCCATCCCTAGCGATAACTATCGACATATCGATATATCGATAACTATCGACATATCGATATATCGATAACTATCGACATATCGATATATCGATAACTATCGATATATCGATACCTATCGATAGTAATCATATATCGATAACTATCTAAATATCGTTAACTATCGAAATATCGATAACTATCGAAATATCGATAACTATCGTTATATCGATAACTATCGACATATCGATAACTATCGACATATCGATAACTATCGATATATCGATAACTATCGATATATCGATAACTATCGACATATCGATAGTTATCGATATATCGATAACTATCAATATTTCGATAACTATCAATATTTCGATAGTTATCGATATATCGATATTTCGATAATTATCGGCATATCGATAAGTAAAATATATCGATAGGTAAGTACCCGATACTTATCGATAGGTGAAAACAGTTATCGCCCATCCCTAGCCTCAGCGATATGGCTGATACCACTTCTGACCACAGGAATACTCCCGAATTGTTCACGGTTAATACACCTCTGCGGAAATGACGGTTTAACGAGGAGGCTGCGTTTCAGGGTGAGGAGCTGTCACTTTCGCATTGTTGCGATCGTTTTAGCCAATGATATCATTGAGCTTATCGTTTTAAGTGAATTTTCATTTTTGGAATGCCTTGTTAATATTTACTACCTTGTTTTTTAACATGATGAAGGACGTACTGTTAGCTCGGCTTTCTTGCCTTGTTATGCGTGGTCGTTTAAGAGCGCGACGAATTATTATTATTAGGCGTATCCTGTATTCCAATAAACAATGGCCATTTTATTGGCTTGGCGCTAAGTAGCGTTTTTTATTCCGGAAATGAGCCGTACAAGTTAGAATAATTTATGACTATTAAAGATTACCACAATAATTAATTATCGATGATCGACCGACCACCATGTGTCAACAGCAAAGCCATCATCCAGCAAACAGCTGTTGTCGTAGGTATGAATATCCAAAATTAGACGATGAATGAATATGCAATGGATAGTTGTATAAAAACATCCAAAAACGGATATACGTACGGTGTGCATTAGAAATCTATGGACGTGTAGACATGAACTGCATAATCCACTGGATATCATTACAGTGACTTTATAGAGACTTTCCTTCTCTAAGGTAGACAGTGGCGACAACAGGGTACCTCGTTTTTGATTGGTCGTTGGTTTCGGTCGCCATGTTGGAGCTTAATTCCAAACTGGCCAATAGAAAGCCTCCAAAACGACGCGGTATACTCCGTGCTATAATTATTAATTATACTGTTTTGATAGTGTCACCTGTAATTGTTACGGCTTCACGTTACTAGTTTACACTTTGCTTCTTGTAAAGGGTTTTTCATTAGGGACGCTCGAACTTTGACAGCGCCATCTTGCTAAAGCGATAGCTGTCAAATTTGGCATGAGTACATATTTAGTCCTGTCATTTCACCATGGAACGATACACGCTTCAACAATGCGTAGAAATGGTTAAAATTGATTATCTAAATCAGTGTCCGTTAGCCTAACGTTCTGTGCGGTGCGTCCAATTTATGGCGTTCATGGCCGTTCTGCAGAGTCCACAATCCGTTGTTTAATAAAAAATTTGGGACAACGGGGTCAGTGATTGATGAAGCAGTTCCTGTACGTCAAAGAAACACAAGATCGTTGGAGAATCTTATGCCGTTCGGTACAGTGTGCGAGAAACCCCCAGGCAGCCCATTCTGCGCAGTGTGCAAGAACGGGGTCTTTCTGGGATGTCAACTTGGCGGATTTTGCGCTAAGACTTGGGTTTTCAGTACCCTAGTCTATGCAGACCAACCACAGTCAATTGCTGCCCTAAAGACCAGTATAACTCGCTTTCTTCGTGAAATTCAGTCCATTAAGCGAAGATGTCCAAAATTGGTCCACCAGAATGGAACGTCTACAGCGGAATCGCATGGGCCATTTGACTGCAATTATTTTCCATAAATATAAAATAATGTCATCGAATATCCTTTAAAAATAAAATATTATAAAAATTGTGGTAATATCACTTAAACAGGTTGTTTTATTTCATTTCAAAGTTCGAGCGCTCTTAATGAAAAACCCTTTATTTGCTTTATTTATCGTTTCTATGTCTCCAGTTTTATATACACTCGATTTTTAAAAACGCATATAGCCGAGGATATAGCTTGGATTTACGATATTATAAGGTACGTAATTGATAATTCCCTAAAAGTGTTTTTAGATGTAAAACTACTGGCAATTGATGAAAATAATTTGTCAGAAGCCCTAAATACCTAACGGTTTTAGATAGAAAACTGGTTAGAAAAAGCATCTTAACCGAAATTTAGCAGCCAATTCAATTATGGTTATGGATAACGCAATAATTGTGATCATAAATACGCTTGAATTGGTTTATGTTTAACATTGATGATTGTTGAAGCACATGGAATATTGATCTCTTGTACTCCATGGACTAAATCAACGTGTTTTGTCTTCCATTTAAGGGACTAAAGTAATACTTTTTATCCCGGAAGGAGAAACACGCGACAAGGTACAAGAAGTGATAGAATACACTGAAATGTCAAACACGATTTAATGATTAATGGTTACCTTTATATGTACATTTTGGATATTGCACCATATTTTATACTTATTATAATAACGCGGTCCGTCCGAAAGCGAAACAAAACCAGGATACAATAATTTCAACTTACTTTTGCTCTTAGAGCCAGTTCTTTAACTCGATAATTTTGTTCGGCAAATAAGTGCCTTGACAACGATTGTATCAACAACGGCATTTTATCTATGTAATTTATTCGGAGAGTAAAGTTATTAAAGGGTCTAGAGGCCTTCAGTCATTATAAATTCAAATTTTAAGTTCCGCGTGACGCCATACGCGGACTAGACGAATTTAGAATGACAATCTAGCATTATTATTGGGATATCCAATCCTCTTAAGTGGGATCTGTTTAGTTTTGAACGGAAATCATATATATCATCTAAGGACGGAATAATCATTCGGGTGGCCATTTTAAATGTTACCGGGTCGACTTTATTTCCGCATTTTTGTCGTGTGGAGTTACCGTTTAACCCGTAGTAATTAGTCATTTTTAATATTTGAACCAAAAAGAACGGCAAACGATTACAAACAATAATAATATTTTACCATCGAATGCGTCCTATACCGTCCAGCATTGTAGTGCAATGCATATGAATGCGGCCATTGTATGTTGTTGATGGTTTGTGGTTGGTACTGTTCTGTGGTTGGTAGTTGTGATGGGTTAGGATGTGAAGGTTGTTTGGCGTCTGTTTGTTTAAAAAAATAAACAAAAAATATTTAAAAAATGTTCACGGAATAATTTTACAATTAAGCTAAAACCATGGCTCTTAGTTTATTTAGTGAGAAAATTGAGGTTGTTTAATACAGTAAACAATTTCTTGTATTTAATATTGTTACCAATTTCAGGACTATGAGGTGCATAATATGCTTGGGAAGGGTGGATTTGCTACTGTATACCATGCAACATGTTTAAAAAGTGGAGTAGAAGTTGCGATTAAAATGGTAAATACAATTCATATTGATTAATCGTCTAGCTCTATGTTACGAATGTGAACAGAAACCTGAATTTGCACTACGGTGCAACCTCTTTAATCCAGACAATTAAATGCAGGATGTGCCCGTGTTAGTGAATTGTCCGGATTACCAAGTAGTAGGTTAAAAGTGGGTGAATGTACCGTAACAACTGGGACATGTTTATTTTGTTCAAATAATTTTATTATTCAAAAACGGTATACATTCTCATGAATGAAACATATAATAACTAAACATTTTAAACTACATAAATAAAAAACACATGTATGGGCGTACGAAGAAAACATACATAGGTATTTACATGTCTAAGTGCACGTTCACAACTGCGCACCACACATCACACTGCACTTAGCATCGCACGTACCATTGCTCAAAGCCTGGTATGGATATGTTCATGTTGGGGCACTGCAAGAAGCTTGGAGCATCGCCTCGATAGTTTTGCTCGAGATGTCTTGCGTGTATGAGGTCATGGGAAATTATTCAGAATCTTCTTCAGATGAAGGATTGATGCTTCTGAATAATCCATTACAGTTGTGGTACATTGAAAATGTGAAAAAGAATACTGCCATCCCATAAACTCGTGGTATTGCATTCCTGCGCGATTTCCTTCCACACTTTGCTTAGGATTAAGCTATTATGGCGCTTATTCCATATAGCAACCCATACTATGCTATGGAAAATTTAACATAGCATTGTACCATCGCCTTGAACAATGGGCATGCGGTGTACGATGCTATGTGCGCTACTTCGTTATGAACATGTGCATTTAAACTCGCATTTAAATGTATGCTTTTATTCGCCTCGACCTCTCGATGCTAAGTGCAGTGCGATGTGCGGTGCGCCGTTGTGAACTCCCACTGAGACATAGGGATAACATAAAAGATATCCGTAACCGATTTTTGTTTCTTTAAAATTATCTCTATCGATATCGTGACCGGATTACTGGATGGCCGGATTAGCATGTGTCCAGAGTAAAAAGCGGTAGATTGATTTTGTTACATTTTTACCGCCCGCTGCTTTTTAGATGCATATACTTTTCAATTTCTACTTTGGAGTCCACCAAAGAAGAAGTGATTTCTAAATCTACATTTTTCTTATTTAAGATTGACAAAAAGTTAATGCAGTCCACTGGAATGGTACACCGTGTCAGACAAGAAGTTACTATTCATTCAAGATTGAAACATCCATCTATTTTAGAACTGTTCACTTTCTTTGAGGACGTTAATTTTGTATATTTAATTTTGGAACTTTGTCATAATGGAGAGTTGCAACAATATTTGAAAAAGAACAACGAGGTAGATAGATATTTGCATCGAACTTAACAATGGATTATCGTGTACTTTTAGGTGTTATCTGAACCAGAAGCCAGCCATATCATGAAGCAGATAATCGAAGGAATCCAGTATTTGCACTCACACAACATATTGCACCGGGATATATCATTGTCCAATTTGTTATTTACAAAAAATATGCAAATAGTAAGTATTGTCGTTGGTTCGTTACCATAAAAACTGTATAACTTTTCACTTTTAATGCATTCAGAAGTAGGGATTGTGAGGTATGTAAGTGGTTTTATGTAAATGTTTGTGTAAGCATTATTAGGTACGTCTCCACTTTGGTGTAAGAAATTGACAACCACTTTTGCAGACAGAGATAAGTATAATAGTATTGACACTTTAACCATTACTTTCTGTTGACGATTGGTAGAGCTTTAAGTTAGTACAATAGACATATGGTAGATCTATAATCTCGACGATAATTTTAGTAGTTTCTCGAGAAACCTACAATTTGAGATAAGTCAGCAAATAGATCTTAATTGGTTTCAGTTATATTGGTGAAATGAGAATTAGATAAATTGGCCTTTCCATCTGTGTTAAGGTTCTGCATACACCAGTTTGACAAGTAAGTCCGCTTAAATGTCCCTGCTGTCTAAAATATAATTATGAATAGCTCCACCCATTTGTCCCACTCTCAGAGGCAGATATTTTACTGTACGGATAGTTCAACGTTACAATTCTCTGCTAATCTTATCTCCTCGTATTCTATTCGAAATAAAGAATATTTCTTTGGTTAGCTTTTAGTTTGGCCACACTTATATTTTATATGTAAATTCTTACATTACTTGAACGAAATTAATTATTGGATGGATTTTATATTCCTGTCTGTCTGTTCATCTGTCCGTGTGCGCGATAACTTTGTTTAGAAACGTCCGACCGCTTTGAAAATTATTCTTAAAGATAAAAGAAAGGTTGTTATCGTTTTTCATTCACGTAGGAGACCAGATCAAAAAGTTGTAGCTCCAAAACTGGTCATACCTCCAACAAAAAGGATTTTTTAAATAACACTTGTTAAATAGAACATAATATCACAGATATACGTAAAGAACAGATTGCTAACTAAATGGAAATTTAGTAAACGCAGCTGTAATGCAAATAAGTATAACGGGTTGCCTACAAGTAGGAAAAATTTGAGGAAATTAAATTTGCTTTATCAAAGACGCAATCCCTAATGCAAATTTCGAAAGTATTCATTTTCTCTGTTAAGAGGACAGGGTACAACGAATGAACGAACCCACCGTAGGTATCTTCATTCTTCAATAATCTACAGATTTCTCCTCTTTATGTTGGTGGATTATGAGTACATCAACAAGTGCAGATCACTGACCCCTATTTTTATTTAGGTCAGTGGGGCAGATACGCAGTATTTCTCTGAACTAAGTAATTTTTTAACTATTTATTTGGTGTTGAGTACGCGAATCAAGTGCAAATACTTACAGATTTATTCCTTTGCTATTTAATAGGTAGATAAACAGTTGACGTAGTTGTATGTACTAGGATTGTGTAAAAAATAAGGTTCCTAAATTTTTTCAGGTATAATAAGGCATTTTTTATTTGAACTGCACCTTCGATATTCAAACTACGGTACTGATAACTGTCTTTGTAATATTATTTCCCTAATAATAAAAACTTTCTATGAAAAGGCTTAATTTATTTACACATGAAGATTATTTGTGGTGTATAATTCTTATTGATTTGATATTGAAGAATATGGTCCATTAGCTGCTGAAATAGCAAACCCAGAAATATATCAATCTCAAAAAGCCTTATTCGTCCAAAAGTTAGAAAAGATAAATGCGGAAATAAAAAATGTTATCATGATGTTATCATCAAGGGTCATGTTAACGTTTCCACAGATAGCTGCGGGCCACATCACAAAAAAGTTTACATTAAGAAAATTTTAATTTCTTATTATTAACATAAAAAGTATACAAAATAATAATACAATAAAACGAAAAAGTAGAAATAATCATAAAATCATTAGTACCAGCTCAAGAAAATGTACACGTACTTACAGTGTAAGATACAAACAAGTTAAAAAGTAATCGTAAACGATTTACATAAAGCGCATTTCCACTGGCATTCATTTCCTATTTGTAAGATGCAACTTTTGTTAAAATTGTAAATAAATAAGAAAGTCGACACTGCGCATGCGCAAAACCAAATTTTGAAATTGGCGTTAAATTTGCTTTTATTCCAAGTGGCTATGTATCAAATTTCATTTAAATACTTTTATAATTAAAAAAGTTTGCAATTCGGTTTATAAATGGTCAAGATGCGAAAAGGGCACTGTGAATTTTGAATCGATTCGACTCAACTTTTGGCATTGCGTATTATATGGCTAAAGCTATGCCCATATTGAATTTCATGCAATTCAGTTCATAACTAACGGAAATGTAAAAGCGATCGGACAGTTCTAAACAAAGTTATCTTTCACACGGACAGATAGAGGGACAGACAAACAAAGGAACAGACGGACAGACCAACAGGCAGACGACAGACAGCAATGCAAAATTATAAACGATCTCTAGGATCGTTAATAAACGGCAAAAGTGTAAAATTATGGAACATGTAAAAAACGGTTTTTTTTTGTTTTTTTTACAATAACTTTTTTTGTAAGCGGTACAGAAAAAAATCCTTCCTTGGTGCAAGACTCGACACCATAACGAACCAAATAGCGAAAAAAGTAGAACAATTAATAGCTCTTAAGATAAAAAACTAGTAGCGTCTCAAAACGAGCGGACGGACGGACAAAGTGGTCACAATAGCGCATTTTTTTTTATTTTTGTGGAAATGCGCTAAAAAGATAAAAACTGCGTATTTTAGATATTTTTACGTAGAATCCAGTGGCGTAGGCAAAAAACAATTTCTGTGATTCGACCCAAACTTGGAATTTGTTTAATGTAACACCCTGTATATTTTAACGTCCATTTTTTGCATTCTTTTTCGTGATTACATTGATGTATCATTCTATATTTTTTATTTAATTATATATTCTATCATATTTCTCAAAATTTTGAAATGGCATATTTCTACCTTCAGCCATTTTTATTGATTGGTATCGAATGCCTTAGTTACCGTGGATACAATAAACAAAACAAAATCTCCATGAATTCATGGCATACTATTTGATTACAGTAAAAATAAGGTTTTAATTGATTTTCATTGCTAAAAAAAATATATACAGTTGTGTGATGCATAAATGTAATCAGGAAAAGGACTGCAAACAATTGACGTTAAGATATACAGGGTGTCACATATAAAAAAATGCCAACTTTGGGCCTCAGACCCTCAGAAACGGTGGTCCAAACGTTTTTTTGCCTACGCCACTGGATTCTACGTAACAGTGTCTAAAATAAACAGTGTTTACCTATTTTCTATCCTACATGGATAGTAAGATACGATATCATCCCAAAAAGTCAAACCTTTCGTTTTCAACTTTGTATCCCAGAAACAAACGTAGCTAGATTGATTTTGTTTGTAGTTTCACAAAAAAGTGACACAGGGTCGCGAAAAATCGCAAACTTAACTATCTTTAAAAACAGCTGATTCTCAACCAAAATAGAACATGCGGTACAATTCAATTACATATTTCAATTTTATAATCTGCGAACATCCTGACGGGTCGCAGATTGTAGAACGGTGGGCCACAAGCGACATGGGGGCCGCGTGTTTGACATGCCTGATTTACATCTTCAAAATATACCGATTATGGAATTACCCATGAACCTGTGGTTAAAATATCTTTTGCGGAACAATTAGGTTGTAAAAAGCTTATAAGAAATGGGTCAAATTCAATGACGCCGTAGGGTCACCCGAGATGCTCTGCCGCTTTTTAGCGCATTTTCGAACGAAGTTGGGTGCGCTATTGCAGCCGCTTTCTCTGTTAATTTTTTTATTTTTAATACATTATAACATAATAATAACATTTTGTTGAAATTTTAATCACAGATACTTGTAGTAAAGGCATATATCGCATATAGTAAAAATCAGATGTGCGCATGCGCAGACTGCGCAATGCCAACTTTCTTATTTATGGAGATATTTCTTTGAAATTTTAACCAAAGATGCTTATAGTAAAAGCGAACGTATTGCATATTGTAAATATCAGATTAATAAGCGCATGCGCAGGACGCGCAATATCAACTGCGCAGTAAGTGTCAACTTCCTTATTTATGAAGATATTTCTTTAAAATTTTAACCATATATGCCTCTAGTAAACATAGCGCACATAGGTATGGCCTTTGGGGTAGTATTGATCAATTTATGGAAAATGCACTGAAGTTACTCGCCTTAGGGCGAAAACGTTTCTACTTGTTTAGATCTGCTTTAGGGGTTTATTTGCCAGAAATTGTGGATCCTCGAAACACACCAGAGCCTGTAGAAATCCCTCCAGGAATGTATTATTGAAACGGTTCAGACAATCCGAGATTAATCAGGCCCTAAATAAAACTACTTTTCGGGGTGTTACATCTGTGGGACTGAATAACTTATTGCTAATTTTTACAGTTTCAACGAACATATAGTATATTTTTGAATAATCAAAACTTAGTTCCTGTAGGACTCCTAAGATTTGTTATCAAAAAAGCATTCACAAATATCTAATGTGTTTTATTAAAATTTAAAACTTTTGTAAAAACCCTCGTACTTTCAACCAACATGGTTTTTACTGATTTCTTTGATTTCTATATCATTTCGTTCAAACGTTCTCTAAAAAACGCAAACTTTATAAGCTCGTTTTGGGTATTGTCATTGACTAATATTGGGGGGTGGGGGGGGGGGGTATTAGTCAATGGCATTGTTTAACGTATTTAAACAATTTTTGGGTAAAATAAATAACAAATCGGAAAATAAGCCTTTATAGTCTTAAGAGCTGGCTTATCGCTACATGGCTGATTTTTTGTGTAAAGTATCCTGATACATAGTGAAGTAGAAGAAGTCATGTCTGCCAGTGAGACCCCGTGGCTTAATGTTGAGAGGGGCGCTCAAATATGTCAAATTTTAATAAAACTGCCGATCTTCCGACTATATTTACCTCTGTCGCATTTATTTTGAATCTGACGCAAAAAATGAATGAGACTTTTTTGTACAACTCATCAAGGCACTTCTTTTTTTTATATGTAACATTTTTTGCTATGAAG